AATTTTATAAAAATTTACCATTTGAAATTTCTATAAATTTCAATGATTGGATAATTAATATTTATTCTTAAAATTTATTTTATTTTTTACCTTTTTTATTTTTATTTTTTATAAAATTTAATCACGTAAAAATACTAAAAATAAATAAATAAATAAAGTAAAAAAAATACTCAAAACAGGATACGGCTCGGCTTGGCTCAGCTGCAAAACAAAAGCTTGAACAGCTCAAAAAGTGGCTCGACTTGGCTCAGCTTGAGACAAAAGACTTTTTTTCTTTTAAAACCCCTAAAAAATCTTCAAAAAAATTTATTGACTGTTTTTTCTAATTTCTGCCTCTCTCTTTGATTTTTTTTTTTATGTGTTTGTATGATGTGTGTGAGCATATATTTATAGGATTCTGAATCTGAAAACTCCAATCCAAAAAGGAATCCTAATTTCTTTTGAATTCTAATCTTAAACTCAACTCCAACTTTATAAACCAGTTTCAACAATTTCACATAAACTCAACTACTTCTTTTTTTTTATTTTTTTATTTACAAAATTAACTTAAATAAAACCTTAGACATATTGGGTGTCTACAGGTGTTTTTATTGGAATATATTTGGTCGGTCCAGATGATGGAGTGTCTCAAACATGTTCACACCCAGAAAACCTTTGTGCTGTTACAATCTCTTGCATTTCTTGTTAATGCAATTGACTGAAAAATGACTGTTAGCCCCTCTCTCTCGATTATTTTTCTTTTTGGATTTATTTTTATTTGGTTTATTTGAGACTAATAAGTTTTTCTGCATTCCACCCAACCCCCGTGCAGTTCTATTCTTTGCCATCTCTGCATTTTCTTGAACTAATCTGTGTTCTTCTCTATGCATATGTATTTCCAAAACTACCCATTGTGAAGTACTATCTCTCAAAGGCAGCCTCTGAAGGATCTATAACTGTTGCAGCTGACCTGGCTGCTGGTGGCATCCAAACATTGCCCCAAAATTAATGTATGTCCTTCTGCCTATTGTCATACATAAAATGCTCCTAGTAGTTCTCAGTTCATTGTCTAATAAGAATCAATGTTTTCCTGCAGACTGCGGTAGACCCCAAAAACCAGGAAAGGCCGAGCAACAAAAAGTTACTGCTTCAGAACATTGATTATGCACTCGAAATGTTCCTGATATATGTGTTGACACTGTCCATTTTTCCGGGATTCTTGTCTGAAGATACAGGAAAACACAGTTTAGGCACATGTAAGTTTTTGTTTGAAAAATTGCTATTCCTTCTAAGCATGTATATGTACTTCACCAGATTTATCGTGACATTTCAGGTATGCGCTTGTTTTGATAGCAATGTTTAATGTATGGGATCTTATTGGGAGATACATTCCACTGGTAAAAGTGTCGAAGCTGGAATCACGGAAGGTCTCACAACAGTGATACTTTCTCGTTTTTTGCTAATCCCAGCATTTTATTTCACAGCTAAATAAGGTGACAAGGCTGGATGATCATGCTAACAAGCTTCTCGGGCTTAACTAATGGTTACCTCACTGTCTGCGTCCCTACTTCTGCACCCAAGGGCTATAAGGTTTGTTAGCCTAATGCTTAAACATACCAATGTATGAAACCTATAGACAGTTCAATCAAAAACTTAGTGAATTCTTGTTTTTACAGGGACCTGAGCAGAATGCATTGGGAAATTTGCTTGTTTTGCATCTCCAAGGAGGTATCTTCGCAGGGGTAACAATTGACTGGTTATGGCTCATAGGCAAGGGATGGTAAACTTTGGTTGAAAGCTGGTTTTAGAAAGAAAGACCACGTTTCTCATTTATAGATATAGTGATTTTCAAGTGGATGGTGAAATTGGGAGTACTGATCCATCATAAAATTGTTCAAATAGTTGAAGACTATAGGCAGCAATGCTTACATTTCATATTCAGATATTGCCAAATTTATATGCCTCCCTCGTACTTATCAACTTCTGGTTTAGTTTAGTTAATGTGTCATTGTCTTTTATAAGTCATATTTTTATGAAATAGAATAATTGATGTCAAGTGGGCTCTTTGGCCCGTATTTGCTAAGGTCCAGGTTGTTCATGGTACTTTAGTTATAGGTGAGAGTGCACTGAACTTTTGGGTCCAATTGTGAAACATGACGGAAGGAAAGGATTTCTTTACCTCGTGTTTTCTACCGCCGACCAAATCCGTCCCGTTGTGGAATCATTATTAACAATATTACCCGTATTACCAGCTCTGTTCAGAAATCACATGGTTGCTGACACAACGACTTGTAGGCGTAGGGCCACCAACTTTTGTCGTCTCGAATGAACTCAATCTGGTACCTCCAAATTCTCATCAATCTTTTTTTTCCATGCATGTTACAGTTTTCCTTCACCTCCAAGTAACGTTAATTTTACAAGAAAAGGAAAATACTTGCATGGACAAAAATGGACTTCAAAATCACAATGTTCCACAATTATGCTTAGAACAACGTAACTACAAAAATATCCAACTCTTTAGTGACTTCTGAGTATAAAACTACATCTATTATAAAAAGGATTTCACCCAAAAAAAAGAAAAAGGACAGACTCTCTTGCACTTCGATTGTGTCTTATCTTCTTCCTCTTGTCAAATGCAAATTCTTTAAAATTGAAAAAAAAAAATTATACAAATCCGTCCTTGGTGTCTGTGTCTGTCAGTGAAAGGGGGCAGCATCCCTTGGAAAGTGTTCGGTTGAAATCACTCCCCTGAACATGTTTTTAAACATCAATTTACAAAAACAATCCAACTTTTTTTAACGTAAATCTTTTCGTTTGTATTAAAAAAAAAAAATTATGCTGATCTAATCTGGTTGTGTATAGTTCTGAATACTGAATAACATTTAATAGGCGACCAACATACTCAATCCTTGGGATTCCCTTCTTGCTAAAAATTGTTATTGAAATTGATTCCTTCAATCGCTACACACTTCTTTAAGCAAATCTCGATTTGGACTCCCAAAAGACATCTGCCTTCAAAATTATTGGTTTCCATCACATGAGGCAGGCGCAAAAGGCACTCTCTGTTTTGGTGAACGGTAAATCCAATGAAACTTCACATTCCAACTAAACCAAAACAAACAAATGAAAATAAATTCAAGGAATAGTGGAGAAAGTAAATAAATAATACTAACACTGCTATATTATCTTCACCTATAAATTAAAGTTGTCCCCAATTATCAATTTATTGCCAAGTCAGCAAATACACTATTCATTTGAATACCAAATCGCAAAATAATTGCCATATCATCTTAATTAATTGATTACTTTATTGCCATATAAGCATTGTTAATTAGCCACTTCATTATAACATCAAATTAAAATTCAATTAAATTGATACATTCATCTCCTAAAAAGTAAAGGAAAAAGCGACAAAAATTTTGAAGATCCAAACCTATGGCTACCGAAGCCGACACTCGCATAAAAAAAGCCCCAAAAACAAACAGTTCTAATTTCTAACCCACATCAATTCTATCTCAATCAAACACAAATTTCAGCTCAATCTAACACAATCAACAAATAAGCAGCAATAATTATCTTTTTCTAAAGTTTTACAATTTTTTGTTGAATCTTAAATGGGTCTGAAAGCTAACTTAAGTGATGAAGGCTTGTCTCCATCGTCCAGCTTCTATAGCTACATGGTTGGATGAGACAAACTTTGAATCGAATTGCTAGTAAAGTCAAGAAAGGTGGGGAAATGAGGCAAGCAGATTACTTCAAGAGAGGGAAAGGGTGATATTTTGGACTTTTGCAAGTTGAGTTTGTGAGTTAAGAAAGAGGAGGCAGAAAACTGAGTTTGAGAAAAATGAGACATGAGAGACAGATGAGAGTGTTAAGAAAAGAGAAGAGAAGAACATCATCAAGACTCAAGAATGGAAAAGACATAAGAGGACTAAGAGTCTGTAGGCTATTTGACCAATGGAGACATGTATGGGATGGGGAAGTGCCTTATTATTGTGCATATTCTTTTAATTTAGAGCATAATTTATTAATTGAAATAAATTTTAAAAATTTTAGTAGGAAAAAAAGTAAGGGTAAAAAACTTTATTAGTATATCATAAATAGAGAAATTTTAGAGGAAGAAATTTGATGAAAATTGAAGGGACAAATTTTTTTTAAGTTATATGAAAAATAATTAAATTTAAATGATTATTTATTGATTTTGTTATTTATTAATTTATGATTTTGTATTTAAATTTTAGTTTTTTTTTTTTGTTATGACATTTATATTGTTGTTCAATTTTTTAGTATGTTAGAATTGTTCTTATTATTATTTTTTTTACAATTAACTAACAATTGAAAATGTCATTCAATATATAATACTTTAAAAGTAATATATAATAAAAATTTCATATCGATTAATGCTTCTAAAAATTAAACTATTTAATAAATTGAATATTTTAAAATTTACAACTCTTAAAATTAAAAACTTAAAAATAAAAGACATGAGATAGCTCGATTCAAAAAAAAAAGTATTCAAATTGGAGTGTCATATTAAAAATTGCTACATTAGATACGCAATTAAACTCGCTTTTTTCATATTAGAAACTAAAAATTTCTTAAACAATCTAATTAGTGTTTTTTTTTATTTTTTATCTTCAATCTTCTTATCAAAAAATTTATGTTTTTTTTAGTAGTATTGCTAAACTTTTACTTATATCCACAATCTACAAGTATAAAGTTTTCATAATAACTCTCTATAGATATAAATGTGAGTTATTACTTAAATATGTGTTGAATATTTACTATGAAAATAAAATTTGAGTCATCAATATATTTGATTGTACAAAGTTTTTGCTTTTAATTTTTTTGATTGTGACCATGTAACTAAGATGATAGATTTAAATATGATTATTTTTTCTGCTGTATACGTATTATTAAATTAGAATTTTAAATAATTATATTTCATCAAAATAAAATAAAAACTTATGGCCCCAAGCATAGCCGGGCTAATTTTCTAGTATTATATAAAGCTGCTCCTCGTCTGCTACGTAATACGTCAAACAAACCTGAAAACGAGCTGAAATTTACAGTGGGCAAAAAGACAAAAACGATTCCTTATTAGCCTGCTTTTATTTGTCTGCTAAGTCCAAAAGCTTCACGTGAATCCCCGACAGTCCAAGAGGACTAGAAAAAATTAGTAAGAGGCAATTGGCAAAAAGCACAGTGCCACTCGGTCACCACCTCCTCTCCGACGCTACCCAAACAGTGAAACCAAAATGATAAGGGGCAAAACCGGGAACGTAAAAGATGCCCACGAGGGTGATGGCGGTGCTGATGATTGGGCCTTGTCGAACTGCAGAGAATCAACGGCTAAGGGCATGTTCTCTTGATCTGGGCTGCACTTGGACTCGTGAGGGTGCGAACTGTACATTATGGCCCGCAGGACGGCTGAAACGGTAGGTATGTACGCCGTTTTGTTGCGTGCAAGGAGCCACGTCAGCCCCATGAGCTGGCAGTCTCGGTTGAACATCTTGTTGGCTCTCTCGCTCGTGCTGCTGTCTTGTGTTCCGTTGTTGCTGTATCCGCCTTTGAGCTGTAATTACCAATCACAAACAAGGGTGTCTTAGAGATTTGGTTGAAAAGCAAGCCCCCCCTGGAAGAGAGTGGGTGCATAGAAGGGGAAAGGTAATGAGGAACGAAATCGTGGAGAAGGCAGGGTGTAATTGTTTGCAATGTAAAAGGGATAGCCTCATCGATGCACAAATGACAATGTCATTTTCTTGGGTCTACCAGAATGACTTTGGTTCCTTTCATAAAATGGCAAAAAGCCCCCCCAAAAAAGTCCACTTTCAAACCACTTCTTCATATGAGCATCACCAATTCACATTCTAGAATTTGATTTACAATCAAAATTCACAAACAAACACCAGAACCAATCCTCATTTGCCCATGGCCACTAAATTTTTGCAACGCAAACCTTTTGTGAACCAATTATCAGTTACTTATTAAATGCATTTTCATTAATTAACAATAGAAATCTGAAAGTGGCAACTGCAAGAGCAATTATATTTAAGACAACATTCCTAGAAAAAATTATCAAAAGACTCGGAGCTAGAGTTAATGCATTTCCCATTAACTAATTGTCTGGTTCATTAGCTACCCAATATATGGACCCAAGAAAGGAAACAACTTTCATTGATTACTTGCCTTTTGAAGAGCACCGAGGCATTTGGTACACCCAGCATAAGAAGCGTTCCTGCAATTCCTCTCCAAATTCTTCACGGCAGCAGTAGGTGTCGCGTTTCTCAACCCGGAAACATTAAACGCCGCGGGACAACTCAGGGAACTAATCTGATGTAGCCTTATCCCACAAAAACATAGAATCGCATCGCAACTCGCGTTTGGCTGAGGAATCCTCACGCGCTTGCTTAACAATGCGTTTTGCAACGAGTTCACACACTTTTGTGAATCATCCGGCCTCATGGGCTGCTCAGGCTGCTCCGATTCCACTGGAGCAGGAGATGAGACTTCCAAAGCATACCTGGCGTGAGCTGCAAAGAGCCAAGCTGCTAACACGGGACAGCAGCGGCTTCTGTCCAGGTTGTGGCTACAGGCGTCGCTGACGCCGCCGAATAGCTCGGCTGACAGGTCGAGACGGCAAACTTGAGCTTGGGTTTGAACTGGAAATGCAGGGACCGTGTTTGGTGATGAGTAGTCTCCAGGTTTTAACGGCTGAAGGTGACCGGAAACCGGTTGAGCTAAAAACCCTGCGAGAGAGTGATGGAAGATAGTGAAAGAAAATAAAAGTATTAGAAACGTGGAAATGAGGGAAAAAGAAACCATGTTTTTTATCCAGTTCTTTTACGTTGATGATGAGGTTCTTAGGGTGTTCTTTTGAAAGGAATGAGGTGGAGAAAAGATTGCGTGGGAGTTGGGAATCGGAATTAGAGGGTAAAAGTTAAGAAGACGACTTTGATTCTGCTTCTACGATAATCGTTCGTTTTTTGTACTATTAGATTATAGGAAAAAAAGCAAAAGTGATTCAAGAGATATTCAAAAGGTAGCAGTAGCAAAGGTGGGTGGTGCTCTGTCCCTTGCTGAGAACTAACATTTGAAAGCTACAAGCAGCTGTAATCAAGCCGTTGAAAAACTATAAGCAGTAGGTAATGAAGAGAAGAGTGACAGTCATGTCGTCTCTTCTCTCTCTTTTGTGTGTTCATTCAGGGTTCCTCCTGAAAATGAGAAATGACAGATTATAAATATGAGAATATCCAATTTCTCTAGGTCCGTGGTCATGGAACAAGTAACCATTCATTAATTTATATCACTAGTATATTCTTGTTTTAATAATACTGGTAATTCTTGTCCTAATGCTAATACTATAAAGGTTTCAATGGAAAGGGGAAAAAGTTATGGGTCCACGGAAAAACAGAAGAGATTCGTTTGGTTATAGGCTTATAGGAGAGAGAGTGAGATTGGGGCTTGGAAAAAAAAGGCTTTCTTTCTGTAGATTTGGCAGCTAGTGGTGTCCTTTTCCTTTTCATTCTCTATCTTCTCCCTCTTCTTCCCGCTGGTGTGATATAGACGTGCCCCTCGCTTTCACCACCCGCCGTTGCCCACTTGCTGCTGCTTTTTTTTTTTTCTAAAGTTTTTCTTTTATTTTTAAATAAGTTCCTAGTAAGTATGACTCTATTGTATTAAGATAAAACTTCAGTTTATAATTTGAACTCAAACATAATTTTTATGTTAATATGTCATGTGCATCAACAATTAAATGCACGACCAATTATGTGAAATCACATAATTGAGAAAAATGGAGAACTTTCCACGTGCTAGGTCAAGTGCGGACGATAATACTTTTTGCTCGGATCAAGAAAAAGACGGAGGCGACGGACGCAGTAAGACAAAGTGAGACAGACGAAGATACGGTGGAGAATGCCCCTTTCATGGAGTGTTCAGTTTGAGAGAAAATTAGATTATTAGTCAAAATTTTATTTTTGTAATTTAATTTTTTTATTTGATATATATGACATTTAATTTTTGTGATATTTTAAAATTTTTAATAATGTCAAAAAAAATGTAATAGCTCATAATAAAAAATTTATAGATGAAGATATGGTGGAGAATGCTACTTTCATGGAGTGTTCGGTTTGGGAGAAAATTAGATTATTAGTCAAAATTTTAATTTTGTAATTAATTTTTCATTTGATTTACAAAATTTAATTTTTGAGATATTTAAAATGTTTAATAATGTTAAAAAAAGAGGGTAATAGCTTAGAATCAGAAATTTACCTAAGGTTTTTAATATTTTTGGAGAAAAGTAAATTTTATCTTACTTTTTATTTTAATAATAATTTGTTATGATCTATTTTATTTTTAAAAATCAAAATAATCGCAAGATAAATTGAGATAAAAGGTTGCATTCTTAATCACACAATTGGGCAAATCAACATTTCTAACAACATGATTAAACACCTAATAATGATTAGATATAGTAGATTAATTATAATAAAAAAACGTTTTTTAAAGAAAAAAGTAGTAGATTTTTTTAAATTTAAAATTTTTATTTTTTTTATTTTCAGAAGCATTATGTTTTTATGTATGAAACGTAGTTAATCGTTTAAAATAATAACAAAATAAATTTAATATTTTCAATATCAATGACATTTTTTAGTACAAAAACATAGTAATAAATAAAATATTTAAAATAAAATATTTATAATATTTTTAACTATGTTTCTTATAAAAAAAATGTAGTATTTGATAAAAATAAAATTTTTTTTATATCAATAATTATGTTTTTTGTTACGGAAACATAGCCACATAATTGATCACCTGAAAATGTATTAGCATGTAATGATCACTTTTTTCATTTTATAAGTACTATATTTTTAATATATAAAATGTAGCTTATCTTTTTTAAAATAATAACAAAATAAATTTGATATTATAATAAAATAAATTTGATATTTTTATTATCAACGACATTTTTTGGTATACAAACATAATAATAAATAAAACATAATTTTTTTTATATAAAAATGTATTATTGTTGGTTTTATCAGTATAATAGAATATTTATGAAGTTTTTAACTATGTTTTTTATGCAAAAAATGTAGTATTAGATAAAAATAAAATGTGATTTATATCTCTATATTAATAACTACGTCTTTTGTTATGAAAATATAATTATTGATAAACCGTAGTAAATGATCACCTGAAAATGTAATAACTGGAAATAATCACCTTTTTTAATTTCAAAACATCTTTGATAATAGAAAAAAAATAACAAAATAAACTAACAAATGGATGCCACATTTCTTTTTCAGACAATATCATAAAGCTCTAGTCAAATCCTAAATCATAGCATTTCTGTTTCACATAACATCACCTTCTAGCTTTGTGACTTTATATTTATTCGATTCATTTTAGCTTATCTTTATCATCATATGGTCAATCTACTCTCTATTTTGTATAATCTATTATGTATTTTTTGTTTGCATTAGATGTCTTATTGTTATATTGCTAGATCTAGGTTAGATCTTAATTTAAAAGTTGTTGATCTATCATACTTATTCTTGCTATTTGTTATTTGTTCGATTTGGCTTAGTTCTTGATCTACTCAAATGTTTTCTTGCTATTTGTTATTCATTAGATGTGATTTAGATCTTGATTTACCAAATGCACATTGTTGCTTTCAACACATGTTTTCAACATTAATAAAAATCTTTTTTTTTAAACAGTTACGACTCGTTTATTAATAAAAAAAGAATACATATTTGGTAATTGTGCTTATTTTTGCAAATGAACTAAATTGAGAGTATATTTCAATTGTTGTTTATTGTTATTATGATATTAGTTGCTATAAACTTTAGAAAAAGACATAGAATCATTTATACTGATAAAACTCTTGATAGGCTTCAAAATAGGCTTCAAATTAGGTCATTAAACTTAAACAAAATGATTTTTAAGAGTAATATACAGATTGTGAATAATTGTAGAATGGATAGAAAAGCTTTTGTAAAATTATGTCAGTTACTTCAAACACGATGAGTATTAAAAGCATTTAGATATATGTCAATAGAAGAAATGGCTATTAGTTTCTTTCACATCATCGCCCATCATACAAAAAAATAGGGTTATGAAGTGTCAAGTAATCAAATTTAGAGAGAAAATTAGTAAGCAATTTCATGCTGTGTTTAATTATATTTTAAGACTATATTATTTGTTGTTTAAAAAACTAAAATCGATGTAGAGAATTTAACAGATAACAGATGAAAATGATTCAATGTAATGCATTAATGATTACTTGCTTTGAATAAATATTAATAAATCTTAATTTTATATAATGTATTAATCAGAGTTGTTAGGTTTAAGGTTGTTTGGGTGCCTTAGATAGAACTTATATAATGGTGAATGTAAATTCAGTTGACAAGTCTAGGTATAAAACTGTGAAAAATGAAATTGCTATAAATATTCTTGGTGTTTACACACTAAACATGCCATTCATTTATGTTTTATCAGGATGAAAAGATTCTATAGTAGATGGCAGAATGTTCAAAGATGTCATTACATGTAGAAATAGTTTAAAGATCTCACAATGTATTGGTTTTAATATTTTGATTTTAGTTATACCATGAAATACATTTGAAATGTATATAAATATTATGACACTAAACTTAGTGTATATTAATATTATGACACTAAACTTAGGTTCTTACTATTTGTGTGATATTGAGTAGACAAATGAAGAAGATTTTTTAACATTTTATAAAAGTCAAAGATATCATTTGAATGATTAGAGATTAGGACACAAACTTATGATACCTTAGAAATACTTCAATATGAAACACTCTTAGGCAAAAAATTGTATCGAGAGATGTTTTAGTATATTGAAAGCTAAATAAGCAATTTTAAGGGAGAAACATTAAAACATAGTGTAGAATCACTTCTGCTTGCCACTTTCTCCATAATTTTATTAGGTCGAAGATGTTAATTGACTCTATTAAAAGTAATGTTGATGAAGTGAGTAATAGCCAAGCAAAAAAAGATGGTCATCAAATTTTGATTAGGTACATTGAGCTAAGTGATATTTAGGTTAAGTTTAAAGATAAGTTGGTAGAAGAGATGTTCACGAATTGATTGCAATCCATTGGTTAAGGGTAAATTCTTTTATTTTTTTGTTTGATTGCTAACATTATTAAATGTACAATATGTTAAGTGTATTATTTGTTTTCTACATTTATTTTATATTTGTTTTCCTATTTGTTTTTTTGTTGAGTGTACATGTAGTTGATTATTGTTTGCAATAATATTTATTGGTTCATCTTTATTGATTTTTTATATGATAAGCATTTGTTGCATGATATCTACCTATATTATTAGGATATCAACATGTTATCATTTGCTACCAACATAAGAAGTACAAATAAAAAAAGAAAACAAACTTCAATTGGTAATCACACATGGATAAAATTCGAGTATGCTACATTTGTCCAATGCTTACTTATTCTTGTTGATGATCCTAAATAAAAACTGATAATGGAGCATTCAGAGTTGACTTTTTAGAACATTTAGAAAAGATGTTGAAGGCCAACTGAAAGCAACCCCTCACATTAAGTTAAGGTAAAATTATTAAAAAGACAATATTATGCTATTTGTGATATGATAGCCAATGCAAGTAGATTTGGATAGAATGATAAGGACAAATATATAACTATTAACAATGATGATTTTGATTAGTGGATTCAGGTAAATAGTTAACATGTAAGTAGAAGTTACTTTGATTACTAATTTTTTATCAAAATATCTTATATATATACTTAAATCTTTTTAATTTAATTTTTGTGTAGACTCACCCTAATGTTAGAAAGTTAAGAAACAAACATTTTTCTCACTTTAATGACTTCATTAAGATATTTGGTCGAAATAAAGCAACTAGAGAAAAGCTGAAATCACAACTAATGCTGTGGAATCATTTCATGCTAGTGATGATGCTGCTTTTAGGTATAACAAAAATGAGGTCAACAGTGATCACGATGAGAAAAGAATAAAGGATAATAAAGTTAAAAGTTTAGTTTGTATGACAACTCTTACACACGTATAACACTATCAAGCAAGAAGCATTCTAAGAACTCTAATGGATTAACTGAATTGGTGGAGTAAATAGGTAATATCGAGGCTACATATTATGAAGTAGTGCAAGAAATCAAAAACATTTCTTGTTTTTTCAAGAAAGAAGTTAAAGAAAATGATAGGCGAATATCACTCTTTATTGAAATCATACAACTAGATGGATTCTTCTAAGATGAAATGCTATTTGCTGGGGAGTATATTTTGAAAGATACTGATAAAGTTGATTTTTTCTGTGCTCTGTC